ATAATATCACGTAATTGAAACAAAAAATTAATATAACAACTTAAATATTTACAAGTTCTATAAAAATATTCAATAGACTTTCGAAATTTTATTGGTACCACATAAAATTGGTTAGATGATAAAACATGTATTGTTTGACAATGACGTAAAAAGTATTATAAATCACAATAGTTAACATTTTTTTTTAAAAAAAACACATATAGAAAAACAACTGCCTGTAAAAAAAACTATAAATGTCACATAAATTGGGACATGAAAAGTAACATATATTATTTCAAAATAACGTTAAAAGTTACTATAAATTAAAATAATTTACAACTTAATATACGTAAAAGACATATAAAAAAGTGGTTAATTTAAAAATTCTATATATGCCATTTCTACCCAACTAAGCACGGTGAAAGCTAGGATATCATTCTTGTTTGCATTCTTTCAGTTGGAGCAGTTCAGCACCAAGATTATACTTTGTAAAATTCCTTCTTTAGTTTACTGCACTGTACGCTTTGGATAATCCTGCCATTTGGTACTTTGTTCACTATGAGTATCATTCTCTCCCCTTAATATAGAAACTTCATCTTTTGGGAAAGTAAATTTTAGCGGACGAGTTGTACTCTTGGACCTCTTATTTCCTCTGGTTGGTCTATCATTTGTATCCATATGCCTGCTTCAAGAATATTTTGTATTTTACATTCAGGTAAGGGTACTTCTTATAATATAGTAAATCATTGTTAGAAACATGTAATGAATAATATACCTTACACTGTTGGCTGAAGCATAACTTCTGTGGTTTCAATTTATTCAAATATTTGTTTTCAACTCATTTGTGGATGTTTTCTGTATTTCATGTTACTTCAGCTTGGAGTTGGTAGTATCTTTTCCTGTTATCAATTTATCGTAGACCTTTTCCTAACCAAACTCTACAACTACTGTCTAATTTTGCAGCCTGATTGTGTGAATTGGATTTTCCTGAATTTAAATAGCTCCTATCCAAAGTGGGATGTTATTTTCTACGCAATTTAAGGTTCTAGATGTATTCCCAGTTCTCTTTGCTATCTGATGAATTGTATTAATTTACTCCTTTAGTTTCTTCTTAGATCATAAAAAAGTTTAAAGCTGGAAGAACATATATGTTAACACTTGAGAGTTTGCAGAATTCAAAATTCAACTACTAGGCCAATGCAACAAATATTAAACTACATATAGTGTCTGTGTTTTGGCCTTCATAGAAAGTTCAATGTATAACTTTCTGTAAAATATATGTAACATACTATAAAATGTGTTAACATTGAAATTTATTTAATCATGTTGCATATTTGCACATCTTTTTTTACAACTATTTTTATCCCCACAATATGCCGTGCCTTGCACGGGCACCCTTATCTAGTTACTTTACTCTTATTTAGAAGTGAGAGTTGGAAAGGACCAACACTGCATTAATACTCTTGTACAACATGCATACAATTTTGTACATTAACTTTTGACTGCATTAATTAGTTGTACAATGTGCAAAAAGAATTCTACATTAATAGAAGGACTAACACCAAGGACTAACATTGCAATTATTATTATTACTCATTACTCCTTATTAGAATTATTATTATTACTCATTAGTCCTTATTAGAATTATTATTATTACTCATTAGTCCTTATTAGAATTATTATTATTACTCATTAGTCCTTATTAGAATTATTATTATTACTCATTAGTCCTTATTAGAATTATTATTATTACTCATTAGTCCTTATTAGAATTATTATTATTACTCATTAGTCCTTATTAGAATTATTATTATTACTCATTTGGCTCCTTATTAGAGTTGACACTTTAAAGCACGAACACGGCACTACCATGTTGTACACAAAGCATTTCAAATCGTAGTATAAAATTAATTGTGCCTCATTAATTGTACACGTGCCTTTTCTAACATATACAACAACCCGCATGAAGAATTAATTTCTGACAATTTTGGTTATATTTTCTTTCAAATAATTATTGCCTCGATTTTTATTTTATTTTTAACATTTTTTTAAAAGATTGGAAATTTTATGTTAAAAATTTAAATAAGAGAAAAAATGATTTATTTAACTTTTATCATCATCAATACTACTAATTTATTTGTACGTTTTTTCTTAATCTTCATCTCATCATTAATGTTATTTATATAATTTTCTTAAATCACTTATTTTTTCTTTTTTAACTCTTTATATTTTATTTTACTTTATTTTACTTTTCTTATTTAGAAATGGGAGTTTAGAGGACCAACATTGCACTAAAGAGTTGGACTAAAAGCTATAGAAATTGTATATTGAGGCCCACCAAAAAGATGAACTAAAGTAACTTCATCAACTTCTACTTTTTCTAAGGACCAACATTACACTAAAGAGTTGGACTAAAAACTATAGAAATTATACATTGAGGCCCACCAAAAAGATGAACTAAAGTAACTTCATCTATTTCTACTTTTTCTACACATATTTTTCTTCAATAAAATAATTATTGCCTCCATTTTTATTTTAATTTTTAACATTTATTTTTAATTTAAAACATTGGAAATTTTATGTTAAAAGTTTAAATAATAGAAAAAATAATTTATTTAACTTTTATCATCATCAATACTACTAATTTATTTGACGTTTTTTCTTAATCTTCATCTCATCATTAATGTTATTTATATAATTTTCTTAAATCACTTATTTTCCTTTTTTAACTCTTTTTATATATATAAAAGTTGGATATGTAAATGATGATGTCTACATTTCTTAGAAGCTAAGATTACTCTCTTATTTAGAAGTGAGACTTAGAACGACTAACACTGCATTAATACTCTTGTAGAAGTAGAAGTGAGACTTGGGTTGGGACTAACACAGCTTTAAGAAGTGATACCAAAAGCAGTTCAAGTTGTACTATAGGGTTGGGACTAACACAACTTTAAGAAGTGATACCAAAAACAGTTCAAGTTGTACTATAATATCAAAAGCATTTTTTATTTTACCCTTATATATAAGGGGACAAACAAAAGGACAAACAAAGCAACACGAAATTGTACCAAAAGTTACATAAATTGTACCTTCACTTTTGGACCCTATTTTTATTTCTTTTATTTTCTTGCCTAACCACGTGTATGCAGCCTTTTCTTTGGCAGACACATATTACATCTTTAATTACTTACTTATTTGCTTTTATATATATAAAATAAGTGGGAATATCTACTACTTAGTACATGATAAGTGTTGAATGATATATGCTTTGATAGTGTTGTACATTCTTCTTTTATGGTTGTACCTTTAAAATTTATATTATTGGACAATTTAACACCATTAATTACCTACCTCATTTGGGCCCATTTATATATATATTTATTTATTACTTCCTTATTATTATTATTATTATTATTATTATTACCTTACCCTTATTTAGAAGAGGGAGTTGTGAAGGACTAACACAGCTTTAAAAAGTTGTTCCAACTGTAAGTTAAGTTGTACTATGTTAGGGCCCACTTTATTCAACAAGTATTGTACTACTCCCTCTGTCCCAATTTATATGACTTACTTTCCTTTTTAGTCAGTCCCAAAAAGAATGACACATTTCTATTTTAAGTAACAATTTGCCTATAAAATGTCTTTTTTACCCTTAATGAAATGATTTACAAGCACACAAATTTCTATCATTCATTTTGTCAAGAATATTTGCATAAACCTTTGCTCTTTCATCTTCCAATTTTCCTCCTTTTGGATTTCTTGTGGAGTTTCTCAATTTTCTGTTAAATAACTTTCTGGTGGGCGCGAAACCTCTTTCGGTTATTTTTTCTATTGACCCCTAATTTTTGGTAGTGATCTGGTTGGTGTATGCTTATGTTTTCCCTCTATTTTTCATGAATGATTTTAGTAGCTTAGGTAAAAATAAATTGCAAAAGTATATTGGACTTTCGTACTTCAATACACACTGACTAGCTCAACATTATTGGCTTATGACACTTTAGATATGCTGCAATTAGATACTAAGCTTTAAGAATTTATCAAATGAGTAGTTTTTATCATACATAATTGGCAGCTGATACTTTCTGTAACAATCAATATGAAGAAATTTTGAGTATTTAAACTTGAATGTATAGATTACCATTAGTAAGAGCTTACACATTAACAAATTTTTAATCAATAATTGTGAACCTCTATTTTGCAAATTGTTATAAGTTCTGAAAATAAAAAACAAAATCTTGCGGGTACAAAGTCTTATTCTTGCACTCTTTTTCTCTAATTTCAGTTACTTCATCGTTATTGAGCTTACCAACTATTATTCTTGAACCAGTGTTGTCTGAGAGGTGATATAAAACAAATTTCAGCAGCAAGTTCCAAAAGCTTTAAATATTGTTGCAGCCGTACTCAGAATTAGATCTTTCTATGAATTTCTTACAAGTCGATGTAACGTGCAATTCGTCTTTCATTTAGCACTTTTTTCTATTGAGTTTTGAACTTTAAAAAATGATGATTGCCTCTACTATGCTATCTTGGGATTTGTTGGGAAGTAAAATTGAAAAACTTCAATTGTTAGTTGTGGCGTGTTTATACTTTGATGTCAAGACAGAAAAGAATATATTCTTTCGACTATTGATTTGCAGGTTACTAAATACTAAGATATTTGTCTTCTTTATCAATTCAAATAAGTGTATATTTTGGTTATAATGACATAACATCTTGCTTTTCTGTTAATTTCTTTCACATACTTAATCTACCTAAATCAAACAGTAAATATATGTCTATGCCAAACAACAATGTGCAAAGATAGAGGTATTTTCGTGATACTCTAGATGATCTTTATGTTTTTTGTTGACAGTGAATAGACAGGGTTCCCTACCAATAGGTTAATAAGACTTTTCTTACTTCACTATCAACAACTCTGGACGAAAAAGAAAATTGTCAATTACCTTGGAAACTCTGTGCAGGTAAAATTACCTCTTCACCGAACACATGTAAAACTATAGAAACCAAAATTAAGAAAATCACGAAAATTGAGGTGTGAAAAAAGAAATAAATGTGAAGCTGAAGATGTAAACGGCAAAAAATAATCTTCTTTAAGTGGTAAAAGCTAAGCATAAGTGAAAGTGGACATTTTTGTTACTGTATACTATTTTTTATGAGATTCTGGAATGAATGGTGCTAATACATTATTTAATTGTGCTAATACATGATGTTGATAAGACGGTAGAATTAATTTTGTTTCCAACCCCCCACCCCCCAACAAACAAAGAATAGAACTTCTCTTTTGTCATTGTTATAGTTATTATTGCAGTTTTCTAAATATGGATGATGTTTTATGAGCAGAAGGAGGAGATGATGGGAAAGTTTAACAAAGCCCAAGTAGCTAACCAGTGAGTTTTAGAGTTTTAATGTGATTACCTTACACTTTATTTTTTGTACTTAACATGACCATATATGTTACACCACATAAAAAATATGTTTATAAATTATATTTTTGGTGAGCTTCACCTTGTTTTTACAAACTTATGCTAAAAGAGAAGTAGAGAAGAAGTGTTGTTCAAAACTTATGATGTTTTACTTAGTTCTGTTCTTGATGGTCCTTCTATTTATCGGAGCATTGAACAGATCGCTAGATGATTCAATTTCTAGGATTCAAAGTGAGCTGCCTTCAACTAAGGATCCTCTAATTCCACGGATAACTGAAGAGGTTCCTTCCTTGAGCACAGATTCTGGAGGACGTAGGCCCAGAAAGAAGACATTTATGGTTATTGGGATAAACACGACCTTCAGTAGTAGAAAAAGGCGCGACTCTATTAGAAAGACTTGGATGCCTCAAGGTGTTAATTATAACATTATTGATGTATATACTTCTTCCATTTTCATTTTCTTCCTCCTTTGACAACATTCTGTTTCTTTGCATAGGTGCAAAGCTACATAGATTAGAGCAAGAAAAGGGGATCGCTGTGCATTTCATGATAGGCTACATGTATGATCTGCATTGTTCTATATCTTCTTCATGCCAAACATATAGATGCTCATTCATCAATGAGTTTCTACTGGAGTCTCATATTGTTTCTTGCCAAAAGAGTGATAATATGCTTCCTGTTCTTTGTTTTAAATATCCTCTGCTTCACTTAGAAGTTGAATGTATGATTAGCTTTTCAAGAGATATACGAAGGAAATTATCATTTAGAAGCTTTGTTAAGAGTTAGTAATTCACTACTAAAGATGGACTGGAAAGATTTAAGACAAGATATAGAGAACTGCAAGTGAGTGATTACAGAATCATTCATCTGTAATCTACCAGTCTGGCACCTTTTTCCTTTTCTATCTGGTAATGTGCAGCATGCAACTCTTCAATGAAGCTGTAAGAAGTTCATTTTGCTGCTTAAAGGAACTTGCAAGAACTTTGAATCTTCTATAAAATAATATTTGCCTTCATAAACGAATGTGTGTTTTTATCCCGCTCTTTCTGCATTTCTAAGAACTAAATACTAAAGGTATATAAAGTTGGTATTCTAACTAAATCGGAAAGAGCAGCAACTCAACGTGACTTTTGGGAGTGGGAATGCCATTTGTCGCATAAGTTATGATGATCCATGTTAATTTTCCTATTGTAGCTTCAAAATGATCAAATGAAAGGATATTAGCTTTTCTTAAGGTTGTAGATTTGAATCAATGACATTCAATGCTTCGATTTACTTCTGTCTTTAGAATGTCAAGACGAGTGAATATCTTGCCATGAGCAGTACCTCTCAGTTGCTTAGAGCAATCAATTTAGTTAGACGTGAATTACTATGTTATTGCATTTGTGCTGATATTGCAAATGTGAAAGGCAAAGTAACAACATCCCTTATGAGTTTCATGTTTGATGGTTTCTATACTTTTCAATCTTGGGTAGATATATCACGGGCCCAGGAGTATGGTTTTAACTTGATGCCCAACATGATAAGAACAAGTGTAGCATAAGTGTTTTCTTTTGTCTTCTTTTTTTTGTTTCTTTTAATTGAAATTTTAAATAGCAGCATGAAAGTTTACTTTGTATCAGAATAGGAAAGGTTTTTTCTAGAGCTAAATGGTGCATTTGGATATAAATGTGGGAGATTGATTCACTTGTGCAAACTGTATCTTTCACGATACTAAGTCATAGATAAGCCATGAGAGATTCAGACACAGTATGTTGCACATTTTCTCACCTGTTCTAGAGGCAGTTTACAACTTCGTAATTTTCGAGGTATCTCTAAATTGAGTGATATTACATTTATGTTTGAGAGATAAGCTCAGTCACCAAAAGTTTCCATCTCTTCTTTTGGTGCACTTTATTGTATTCAGATCATGTTATTGAATTTAATCCTGAAGAAGTTTGTACTAAGTTCAAAAATAGAAGTTCAAGTTATAACATCACTTTAGGTTCAGAACAAAAAGAGTAGAACCATCTAAACTGATGAAAGTTGTTGGATTACCCAACAAACTGGATTGCATTAGTTATTTTTATGTACTCTTGATAAAATAATAATCATTTTTTATGTACTAAGATGTTTTTGCAGTCTCTTTTTCTGCCAATTTTTATAGAGCAAGAAGGGCATAATCGTTACACTTTTTTGAGAGCTTATTACAAAACCAGCTAAAGGATAAGTTGAAATATTATGTATTAGTAGGTTTAAAGTTGCTCACCCTCCTCTCAATGAAAAAGAGAAAGTCAGACTTGAGAAGGACATGCTGATTTTAGAATCATACATCTATTTGAAGTAAGTAAATGCTACCATATCTCCATTGATAATATGTATTGTTGCTATGAGATCTTTCTTTTTTGGCATGTCAATCAAGTAAACTTATGAGTATAAGAATGGTAAAAAGAAAGCATTAGAAAGGAAGGATTGTTTTTAATGAAAAAGAGAAGTGAAATGCACATGAATAGTAGCCATTGGATTGCACTTGGGTGAAGCTTCACTATCAACAACTCTGGACGAAAAAGAAAATGTCAATTACCTTGGAAACTTTGTGCAAGTAAAATGACCTCTTGACCGAACACATGTAAAACTATGAAACCAAATTAAGAAATCACGAAAATTGAGGTGTGAAAAAAGAAATAAATGTGAAGCTGAAGATGTAAACGGCAAAAAATAATCTTCTTTAAGTGGTAAAAGCTAAGCATAAGTGAAAGTGGACATTTTTGTTACTGTATACTATTTTTTATGAGATTCTGGAATGAATGGTGCTAATACATTATTTAATTGTGCTAATACATGATGTTGATAAGACGGTAAAATTAATTTTGTTTCCAACCCCCCACCCCCCAACAAACAAAGAATAGAACTTTTTTTTTTGTCATTGTTATAGTTATTATTGCAGTTTTCTAAATATGGATGATGTTTTATGAGCAGAAGGAGGAGATGATGGGAAAGTTTAACAAAGCCCAAGTACCTATCCAGTGTGTTTCAGAGTTTTAATGTGATTACCTTACACTTTATTTTTTGTACTTAACATGACAATATATGTTACACCACATAAAAAATATGTTTATAAATTATTATTTTTGTGAGCTTCACCTTGTTTTTACAAACTTATGCTAAAAAGAGAAGTAGAGAAGAAGTGTTGTTCAAAACTTATGATGTTTTACTTAGTTCTGTTCTTGATGGTCCTTCTATTTATCGGAGCATTGAACAGATCGCTGGATGATTCAATTTCTAAGATTCAAAGTGAGCTGCCTTCAACTAAGGATCCTCTAATTCCACGGATAACTGAAGAGGTTCCTTCCTTGAGCACAGATTCTGGAGGACGTAGGCCCAGAAAGAAGACATTTATGGTTATTGGGATAAACACGACCTTCAGTAGTAGAAAAAGGCGCGATTCTATTAGAAAGACTTGGATGCCTCAAGGTGTTAATTATAACATTATTGATGTATATACTTCTTCCATTTTCATTTTCTTCCTCCTTTGACAACATTCTGTTTCTTTGCATAGGTGCAAAGCTACATAGATTAGAGCGAGAAAAGGGGATCGTTGTGCGTTTCATGATAGGCCACAGGTATGATCTGCATTGCTCCATATCTTCTTCATGCCAAACTAGATGCTCATTCATCAATGAGTTTCTACTGGAGTCTCATATTGTTTCTTGCCAAAAGAGTGATAATATGCTTCCTGTTCTTTGTTTTAAATATCCTCTGCTTCACTTAGAAGTTGAATGTATGATTAGCTTTTCAAGAGATATACGAAGGAAATTATCATTTAGAAGCTTTGTTAAGAGTTAGTAATTCACTACTAAAGATGGACTGGAAAGATTTAAGACAAGATATAGAGAACTGCAAGTGAGTGATTACAGAATCATTCATCTGTAATCTACCAGTCTGGCACCTTTTTCCTTTTCTATCTGGTAATGTGCAGCATGCAACTCTTCAATGAAGCTGTAAGAAGTTCATTTTGCTGCTTAAAGGAACTTGCAAGAACTTTGAATCTTCTATAAAACAATATTTGCCTTCATAAACGAATGTGTGTTTTTATCCCACTCTTTCTGCATTTCTAAGAACTAAATACTAAAGGTATATAAAGTTGGTATTCTAACTAAATCGGAAAGAGCAGCAACTCGACGTGACTTTTGGGAGTGGGAATGCCATTTGTCGCATAAGTTATGATGATCCATGTTAATTTTCCTATTGTAGCTTCAAAATGATCAAATGAAAGGATATTAGCTTTTCTTAAGGTTGTAGATTTGAATCAATGACATTCAATGCTTCGATTTACTTCTGTCTTTAGAATGTCAAGACGAGTGAATATCTTGCCATGAGCAGTACCTCTCAGTTGCTTAGAGCAATCAATTTAGTTAGACGTGAATTACTATGTTATTGCATTTGTGCTGATATTGCAAATGTGAAAGGCAAAGTAACAACATCCCTTATGAGTTTCATGTTTGATGGTTTCTATACTTTTCAATCTTGGGTAGATATATCACGGGCCCAGGAGTATGGTTTTAACTTGATGCCCAACATGATAAGAACAAGTGTAGCATAAGTGTTTTCTTTTGTCTTCTTTTTTTTGTTTCTTTTAATTGAAATTTTAAATAGCAGCATGAAAGTTTACTTTGTATCAGAATAGGAAAGGTTTTTTCTAGAGCTAAATGGTGCATTTGGATATAAATGTGGGAGATTGATTCACTTGTGCAAACTGTATCTTTCACGATACTAAGTCATAGATAAGCCATGAGAGATTCAGACACAGTATGTTGCACATTTTCTCACCTGTTCTAGAGGCAGTTTACAACTTCGTAATTTTCGAGGTATCTCTAAATTGAGTGATATTACATTTATGTTTGAGAGATAAGCTCAGTCACCAAAAGTTTCCATCTCTTCTTTTGGTGCACTTTATTGTATTCAGATCATGTTATTGAATTTAATCCTGAAGAAGTTTGTACTAAGTTCAAAAATAGAAGTTCAAGTTATAACATCACTTTAGGTTCAGAACAAAAAGAGTAGAACCATCTAAACTGATGAAAGTTGTTGGATTACCCAACAAACTGGATTGCATTAGTTATTTTTATGTACTCTTGATAAAATAATAATCATTTTTTATGTACTAAGATGTTTTTGCACTCTCTTTTTCTGCCAATTTTTACAGAGCAAGAAGGGCATAATCGTTACACTTGTTTGAGAGCTTATTACAAAACCAGCTAAAGGATAAGTTGAAATATTATGTATTAGTAGGTTTAAAGTTGCTCACCCTCCTCTCAATGAAAAAGAGAAAGTCAGACTTGAGAAGGACATGCTGATTTTAGAATCATACATCTATTTGAAGTAAGTAAATGCTACCATATCTCCATTGATAATATGTATTGTTGCTATGAGATCTTTCTTTTTTGGCATGTCAATCAAGTAAACTTATGAGTATAAGAATGGTAAAAAGAAAGCATTAGAAAGGAAGGATTGTTTTTCATGAAAAAGAGAAGTGAAATGCACATGAATAGTAGCCATTGGATTGCACTTGGGTGAAGTCCTTTTAAGACTAATTGCTCAGATAAGTTTGCAACAAATTAAAACAAGGTTTACTAAAACATTCTTTTGTTGAAAAAACATCTTCTCTTACAAGAAGTAGTCAATTTTTTAAACTCTCTCTGAGATGGGGCAAGAAGAAGTAAGTCCAAAAAATTTCATCCATACTCCTTTTATCCTTGTTTTATATGTAAAAAAATGTATGGTTTATTGAACTTCATATAGTGACATGACAATTTTAGAAATGTACATACTTATACTACCAATATTGCTTTTTTTAAAATTTAATTTTTTTTCCTATTGTACTCCACAATTTTGTGAGTGTTTGACTACATAATAATTATTGTGCAAAGTAATAGATGATTCTTTTTCTTTAGTGTATTTTTGGTTGGAAACATTAAGTTTCATATTGTTTACAACTTGCAGTAATAGAAGCAATTACAGTTCTCAAGGGAATAGTGAAAAGATGTGCGCGAAAGAACTCATGTTTGTCCATTATGATTCATTGTGGGTGAAAGTTTTTGCAGTGCTACAAAGATTTTAGAATGTTTGATTGATAAAACTTTCATATTTTTTCAATATCATGTTATTGACGAACAATTGTACAGTAACTGTTTGGGCTCAGCTAGAAAAATAATTTACCAATCTAGTATACATAAAAGAGCCAGTTTCAACATGACTGTTGTCTTTAAATTAAAAGGTAAGGGTGTTTTGCTGGTAAGCTGAGCTAGAATATACGTGTCACATGTAGCTGTAGAATAAACACGTGGCTGAAGAATAAGGGCCAAAGTTATTTTCTTCATTTTTCCCCTTAATCAAAAGCACAATAAAATTGAAATTCAATTCAGGTATTTCAATTTTGTGTATCACACTGAGCATCATGTCGTTCACCTTCACTTTTTGATGAAGATATTGTTTTCAAAGAGGATTGCGAACAATTAATTATGGAATTAGTGAATAATTTTTTGATTTGGTGAATATAATATATAAGATGATGTTAATAATTCTTTTATTTATTTATTTCTTTTCTTCTGATGGGTTAAATGTGTATGATCAGTACTTGAGTTATAATGTGTATGATCAGTACTTGAGTTATTTGTTCTTTGCAGTTATTTAGAGATCAGAGAAGGAAGATAGATGGACGGATCATAGTGCATGCATGAGAAAAAATTAAGTGACCAGAATAGATGATCAACTTACATTTAATTGAGAAATTTTCATAGTTCATGCAAGAATGGATCAACTTCAATGAAAAATTCTCAATCATTCAGTCAGTCAGTCGTTGTGTCAAATCAAGCAAGATTGCTAGGAAAAAAAGAAGAGATAAGATTGGATACTTCCTAGCTAAGAATTTAGCAGTCAACTTAATTATACAATTTACAATTTTGTTCGGCACATATAAAAAGAGCAAAAACCACTTGGAAAACTTTTTGTTTTTAGAATAGCTGCCTCTTGAACAGTTGAACGAGACATTCATAAATAACTTTCTTATTGTCGAAATGCTTGCTTAGCTGCCTCTTCCGATTTCAATAGGAGTATACTGACTGGAGTAAAGATCATCATGCAGCTCTAGCTGGTGCTATCGGAATGATCCTTTGTAACAATAAACCTACTGGCAACGAAATTTACAGCGTCCCTCATGTCCTTCCAGCGATACATATCAATTATACAGATGGTGTTCGAGTCTTTGACTACATTGCTTCTTCTAAGTCTGTCTATATATATATATATATATATATATATATATATCTTTCTTTTCCTTATTTCCAGTGTAGATACTTGTAGTTCTAACTTGCGACGTTATTGTTACAGAGATCCACATGCATATATCACGAAGCATTGACCAAAATAAGCTATTTTAAAAACCAATTCACCAAACTAATACGCTTTTTA